TGTATATATATATATATATATATATATACACACACACACATACAGTAATCAACATTTGAAGTGGATCAAAAAAGTTTATCAAAGTTGTCCTGAGACAAGAACACATTTTGGTTTTAGGTTTTAGGACAACTTTGATGAAAGGTTTTGATCCACTTCAAATGTTGACTACTGTATATTAGGGCTGTCAAAAAAAATTTGAATTTCGAATATTCGTCGAATTTAAAATAAAAATCCACATTCTAATGTAAAAATGTTGCATTCGAATCAGGGCCGGATTGACCTCTTTTCGTGACATAGGCAAAACAAATTTTTGGGCCCCCCATCCCTATTAATATAAGAGAGAGAGCGAAAGAGAGGGAGAGATTAAGTGCGTGTGAATACTTGATTGTTGCGTCTGTGCGTCTCTCAGCAGTGTTCAGCAGCAGCAGCGTCTACTAATAGCGAATCTTTAAGTTGAACTGCATCAAGAACCTCGCTACTGAGAAATGTCATGTAGCTTTTCAAGCTGCGAAACTCTTTTATTGATAAATTTGCGGGTCAGCCGCAGCTCTGACAACAAGTGTTCGCGTCTCCGCGTGTGTGCGCGAGTGCGTGTCTGTACTGTGTGTGCGTCTGTGAGAGAGAACGGGAGAAAGAAAGCGTTTTTCCGTAGCCTGCATAAAAAAGGTGAAAGACATGGAAATAGTTTGTCATTTTTACCCTATTGTTTGTTATATTTATTTGCTCAATGTCTTCTGGGGTTTTGGTTCTTTTACTGTTGTAGATATCCCATTGTATAACAAAAATATTATATATCTCTTCATTGTGTTTGGCCCCCACCTGGACGAGCAAGCATAGGCACGTGCCTAGAATGCTTATGCGTAAATCCAGCCCTGATTAGAATTTTAGGTGTGCGTCAGGCAGCCTTATCAGTGGCGCACGAAATGCGACGACTATGTAAGTATCATTGCATTTTAATGTTTTTAAAAATGTAACTACACTTAAAATGAAAACAGATCAACTTTAACTGAAAGAAAATAAAATAATAAAAATAAACATTTTATTTTAGCTAGCTGCCAAGAAAAATAACAAAAATAAAAATGACAAAAACACAACAAATTTCCTAAAAAAGAAAACTTAAAATAAAAACAAAAATAAACTTAATACAATGTAAAATAAAATATTTAAAAAAACAAATATTTTATTTTAGCTAGTTGATAAACACAACAACAACAAAAGACTAAAACCAAAATTAAAATGAAAACAAAAAATTATATAAAAAAATAAAACCGATTGAAAATAATAATAAGCACTATAATAGTTTCTCAATAGGCTCACAGGCGGGTTTGTTCCAGGTCTGAACAGTTCACGGGCGTATCTAGCTTGAAATCGATGATGTATTCAGCAAACAAGGGTGGAGGTGAAGGCGTTTACGTGTGGATTCTTGACTGATTTAACACAAACCAACTTTCAGCGCTCTGGTGGTCCCACACAATATTCATACCAAGCAATTAAAAGACAAAGCATGAGAAAATTACTCAACACAGAGATCTGCATTCAGTGAAATCACACACGAGCCGGGCAAAACTACAGAGAAGAGAGACTGAACGAAAACATGATGTTCAAAACAACTCCTGCAGTCCGACTGAAGCGTTTATTTGAAGAAAACAATGACACTGGAGCGCAAAGTCATAAAAACCGTAAACGGCTGTTATGCAATGGAGAGTTGGAGGTCGCTTTGTGTGTATAAAGCAGGGTTTGGGTGGGATTTCTGGAGAGTTATGCCACAAACAAACACCCACAGGAAAAGAGCACATCCATCAGGACTGCAGCACAGACGCATGAGGCTCTTCATGAGAGATCAGCTCAAACACATGCACGTCTGGAGCCAGAGATGTGTTTCTAATAAAACACCACTCCACCCACATGCACACGTTCATGCTCCGCTTGTGTTTGCGGGAAATACACCACCCAACCGCGTCACATCTTAACAACCGAGGAAAAACCAAAGAGCTGATTACATTAAACATACAGTTTCTCAACAAATGCACTCTCATGCAACTACAAAATAAGTCCAGGATGAGAAAAAAAGCTCAATGCAATATGGAGATTGAGATGGACGGTGATGTAGAGCAGATCTTCTGGACAGCGAAAACAGATTTCATGTCTCGAACCAGAGCACAAACACAGACCGAAGTGACTGCTAAAGATGGTTTAATAGTTCCCAGATCCAGAGAGAACAGATCAAGCTCCTTATTGATCATTTTAAACATTAACTTGTTTTTACACATGGTATGTAGACCACTTTAAGCATGAAGTTGGAGCTCTACTATTCGATTGTTACTTATTAGCACTTTTGATTAAACAGTAAAAGCTGCTGAGCTTTTATGATGTCAAAAAAAAAAAGGAGTTTCAAAGTACAAACCTGTTCAGTTGACAAAAATCTGATCCAGGGTCAGTTTCTGCCTTTCACATGATTACGACTGATCTTATACAGACTGATGGATCTGATTCTGGATCAGTCTACTGAGAAACTCCATATATAAAGGCCTGTGTGGCTATACTGTATAACCCACATCACTAGCACAATCTACACACATACAAACTACTGAATAAACACAGCACTGGATCAGTCTAAACACTAAACTATAAGACATATACGTGCATTTACCTGCATATCTGATTGAATTTGACCACCAGCAACAGGAAGAACTTCAAAATATGGAAAAAACATTAGAAAAGTGCAAAAAACAAGCCCTATGACGCATTTCAAGTGGGCGACAGTTTGTTTGAGCTCCATGAAGCCAAATGTGGAAATTTTGAACAAGTTAACATATTGTCGTTTTTTAACCAAAACAAAAGCCTGTTGAGCTGTTTAGCTATAGAAATGGGTGTATCAACTGTAATCTTTTCAGTGATGATTCACAACTTCAGGAATTTGTCTAAACCTGCTTTACAAGTAGCCTAATACTGAGACTCAAACTAACGTGACTCTGAGACTGAAGGGTGAATTTTGATGTAATGATGGCAGTGCTGGGTAGTAACTGATTACAGGTGATCTGGATTACATGTAATCTAATTACAAGTATTTGTAATTCGATCATATTGCACGGTGAAATACTCATAATCAGACCACAGTTACTTTTTGATTACACAATTACAATTACATTATAAACACATTAAAATGCACAAATTTACGTTATTTCTTATTTACATGTAATGCAGGGATTCTCTCTCTCTTTTTTGGGGGGGTCAGCTGAACCTCTTTTACCTAATATATACTAAAAAAAACTCATATGTCACATGACATTCAGGTAAACAAATAAAGTGTTTCACCTTTTTAAGCAATTGTTTATTTGAATGATAAATTGATTTATTTAAATTTTACATGTTTTTGATTTCATTTATTATTTAATGTCATTACGGGAAAAAAAAACATGTAATAGTTAATGCACTTCATGTTGTTAATAACAATACATAGAATATATTTTCTTCCTTTTTATATCAATATGGCACAACATTATCCTATTTAAATCAATGTTATATACGAGCTAGCTCAAATCTAATTATTAGTAATCTAAAAGTAATCCAAAAGTAGTCTGATTATATTACCCAAAATGTGTAATGTAATGGATTACGTTACTGACTACTGTACACTTTTTGTCATGTAATCTAAAATCAGTAATGGACTACAGTTTGTAAGTAATCTAGCCAGCTCTGAATGATGGTTTCATGAAGATATTTGGCTGCGAAAGATCAACAAGTCCCACTCATAATTACCTTTGACATACGAGTCCCACTGTCTCCTGTAGTTCAGATCCATGTAAACATCTGCACAGAGATCTGCAGCGCAGCCGGTCAGAGAACCGAACACTTTGTACTCGTACAGACCCGTTTCCTGTCGAGCATGACATTAAAGACAAATGCATCACAAACACGACCCAGATCACAGCCAGAGCCTGTAACGCTGAACAAGCGCCATGATATACATGACTCACATGTGCGCTTAGGGCTGCACGATTAATCGAATGCGATTGTCATGCACATTTTGTTAGTAAAGCCGGTTCTGTAATCAGCAGGAAATCATCATCACGTGCTTTCAGATGGAGCATCAGTTTAGAGGACAGAATTGTCAAAAATTATTCTAATTCAAAAACTAGAAGAGTATGTTGATTTAAAGAAAACAACTGTGTATTTGGACATTTGATCAAAATTATTCTATTTATTAAAATACATGGAGTACGACAACATGTGTGTCAACTTGCCCTGGTCTCCTCTATTATGCATTTTATTTTCTAGAACACAAACGTGTTTAGCATCATTGAGATAATAGTTTTATTAATATTTCTAGTTTTTATTTTTATATTTTCCATTTATTTTATTTAAAATAATTTTGTGTTTTTGTAATTTGTATTCTTTTTTAATGTGTATATAGTTTTTATTAATTTTTATTTCAGTTTTAATTTTTTTTAGTACATAAAGTTATACTAAATAAAAACGTATTCATTCATTCATTCAAGGTTTACCATTATGTCTTTAGATTTAGTTGTACAATAACCCTGGAACACAACACAGGTCTGTTGCTTTTAAAGTGAGTTTGAAGCTTATAAATTCTACCATTATGTTATCATTATATTATGTACAATATTACGTACAGTATGTCCAATACTATATAGAAGAATGTATGTCCTTTGGGCATTTTGTACGTCAGTTTTGTTTATAATAATAATCAGAAACAACCACTGCAATATGTTAGACAGTATATACTTCGTTTTTGTTGTGTTTAAGGTTGCAATGCATTGTAAAGCAGAAGGCAGATCGCTTTGCTGCATTGTTTTGATAGCGCGTGCGCGTCGTGTCATTCGTCCTATATTCACCTTGTTGTAAAGTCGGTATATTTTGACGTTCATGGTCTCGGTGAAGAGCTCCCATCCTCCATCGAGCTGCGGCTCGTCCAGCTCGGTCCAGGCCTGCTGGATCTCCTCATCGCTGAAGAGCAGAGCCATGCTGCTACGTCCACCAGTCATGTGACCGACCGCGGGCGCTGCTGACGTCAGAGCGCAGCTGACCGCGAACCACGTGCTCATGCGCTCATGCATGAAGCTACACTTCAATTAATTATAATAATTGTATATGGCTTTTACAATAGATTATATATATATATATATATAATTTATATAATTAGTATTTACTTTGTACATTTTTTTACATTTTGTATTTTTGTATTTTATTTAGAATTATATTTATTATATTTTTTAACATATTTAATATAATTTATTATTATATAATTTATATATTTTATTACATTTCACTATAATTAATAATACTAAATATAATTTATTAATACATAATTTTGTATGTTGTATGTTGAGATAATGTGCAGTCAGCCATTTATAATCACAAAATAAACATTGACAGGGTCATCAAATGTATATTTGGTTATATATTATTAACCAACAATATAATTCATTTTTTATATTTATTTTTATTTTATTTAGTAATTAATTTCCTTTTATGATTTTTTTTTTTGGTATTTTTATTTGGAATTGTTTTTTCTGAATATCTAAATATAATACTTAATTTATGAATAAATTAATTGTATATTTTATGTTGTACCACAAGTAGGACACAATCAACCGGCCATTATCTCAAAATAAACACTGATATATAAACTATATATACACAATTAATCAAAGAGACAATTCACTTATTTGATATTTTTTATCTAACATTTTATTTTAGATTTATTTTTATTCTATTTAGTATTTAATCTACTTTGTATGTGGCTATGTAGCATTTTTGTTTGACTTTTTTTGTATTTTATTTCCATTTTTATGAAGATTTATATATCATATTATTATTTTTTTATGTTGTAAGAGATAATGTACAGTCAGGCAGTCATTATCTCAAAATAAAGGCTGACAGAGATGATCAGAACACCGACACGAGGAACGGAGACATTAGTCTAAGAGCAGTAGTGTATGAGCAGCATCTGTTAGTAACCCAATACTGTAACCTTTGTTGCCAGATGATACTCGATACCTGCAGACCAGCTCAAATATTTATACTCCACCAGATTCATAACAGGCCTAACAATTCATCAGAAATGGACAGCGTGTCACAATATATATTGCTATATTGTTGCTATAGTTGTGAATTTCCAAAGAAGCTGAACCATATCAACTCAAGTACACCATACAGTCAAAATGCTTCAACTAAAGAACCATCTAATGTCTAGGATCATCAAAGAACAGTTTGACGAGAGCTGCATAACATAAGCTCAATCGTTTGCTTCAATGCTGCAGAACTTGCAGCCAAATGACGAAACGCTCAGCGGCCTCTGCTGTCAGTCACAGAGATCAGAGCGATGACCGTCACTGCGTGGTGCATTTGAGGAAAGATTTCCTCCGGGAAGGAAGACTGCAGACAACACCCTGTATCACATTACAAGAAAAAAAATAAAAGAAGAAAAAAACGCACTGGATGCTTGAGTCTCATATGCATGTGTTTGAGAGCAGAAGGCAAATCAGAAACACATTCAAATATATTCAAATGTACGTCCACAAACACTCAATCAGAGCGAGAGAGTTTGTACTGTATCTATCATGTCAGATATTTAAATGAATAATGTATGTGCATTTATATCAATCATTTTTACTATGTACTTTTAAATGCAATTAATTGTCATTTATTCTTAAATAAATGTATAGGCTACCTTAAATGCACTGAAAGTTGCTTTGGCTAAAAGTGTCTTCCACATAAATAACTGTGAATTGCATTAGTATTTATATCTGCACCAAGAAAATGTAGGTTATTAGGCTACTGTTGTAAAAGTGTGAAATGCATTTATTGCAAGATATATATTTGAATACACTAAAACCGAAACCAAACACACACATCATAAGCCATCTTCACTTTGGGATGCTTTTAAAACACTATTGAAGATATGTGCTGGACATGCAATGGTGTAAGAACATGATATTTGTCTTTAAACCACACATTTTAAAGGAATAGTTCACCTAAAATGAAAATTTGCTAAAACTTTACTCACCCTCGGGTCATCCAAGATGCAGATGAGTTTGTTTCTTCATGAAAACAGATTTGGAGAAATGTAGCATTGCATCACTTGCTCAGCAATGGATGCTCTGCAGTGAATGGGTGCCGTCAGAATGAGAGTCCAAACAGCTGATAAAAACATCACAATAATCCACAAGTAATCCACACCACTCCAGTCCATCAGTTAATGTCGTACAAAGGCATTTCCTATCTTCTCTCACATCAAAATCCACCCAAATATTTGTTTAGAGCTGTTTTAGACTGTTTTTGCTTGTAAACAGTGCTTGATCCGTGCTTATTTTCTCCCTTGATTCAGACGAGACAACTTCTTCACTAAAGCAAGACTCGTATTTTAGCCAGAAGCAACAGTTTGAAGTTAAAAACGTCTTGATGGACTTGTTTCTTACAAACACGCAGCTTTTCTCTTCACAAGACATTAACTGATGGACTGGAGTGGTGTGGATTACTTGTGGATTATTGTGATGTTTTTATCAGCTGTTTGGACTCTCATTCTGACGGCACCCATTCACTGCAGAGCATCCATTGCTGAGCAAGTCACATAACACTACATTTCTTCAAATATATTCTGATGCAGAAACAAACTCATATGAGGGTAAGTAAATTGTCAGCATATTTTCATGTTTGGGTCAACTATTCCTTTAACCAAAATTAATTCTACCCGTACACACAACCAGAGTGATTTAGTTCCTCTCATTAAACTTTATTTTGTGACCAGCCACCAGCATATGTGACCATGGACCACAAAACCAGTCATAAGGGTCAATTTTTTTTTAAATTAAGATTTATACATCATCTGAAAGCTGAATAAATAAGGTTTGTTAGGATAAGACAATATTTGGCCGAGATATAACTATTTGAAAATCTGGAATCTGAGGGTGTAAAAAAATCTAAATATTGAGAAAATCTCCTTTAAATTTGAAGTTATGCAAATGAAGTTCTTAGCAATGCATATTAATAATCAAAAATTAAGTTTTGATATATTTACGGTAGGAAATTTACAAAATATCTTCATGGAACATGATCTTTACTTAATATCCTAATGATTTTTGGCATAAAAGAAAAATTGATAATTTTGACCCATACAATGTATTGTTGGCTATTGCTACAAATATACCCCAGCGACTTAAGACTGGTTTTGTGCTCCAGGGTCACATATCACAAAAACAGCTTATACAGTATACAAAAGACTCCATGAAATGGTCAAACCTGCCACTTACGCTCCTCCCCCTGAGTTCAGACTGAAGCAGTGTCAGTTCACATGGAGGAGGAGTATCACAGACGCACATCTAGTGAATGAGAGCCGCACACACACACACACACACACACAGAGAGAGTCAGTCTCTCACAGGAGACCTTCACCAGCAGACTGTGTTTGGAGTATAACGGGACTTTCACGTCTTCGGTTTGCTGAACAAGATCTTTGGAGGGCAGGATGGAAAACATGTGTGAGGTGAGTGACTTGACCCCACTCTCAGATTACCTTCATGCATGCACCAAACTCACCATGCAACATTATTTCACACTCACATTTTGGATTTAAATGAGTAACAGTGAATTATTATATTGGTAAGGGTGTTGCATGTTTCTGCAGCCTTCATGCATGCATTTTCTGACATACACTGTAAAAAAGCTGTAAATAAAATGACAATTATATAAGAAAATACTATTTCAGTCTAGAACAAGAGTGAGCTGTCTTAAGTGAGTGAATATATATTCATATTCACTGCAATGCAATAAAACTAATATTGAATATTGTAAATGGAATGAAAATATAATGATAAAAACTGTTTGAAGTGACCAAAACAGACGTTTTAACATATAAAGTCACTTCTGTAGCATTAGAAATATAAAGCAATAAATATAGGCTATAAGCCATATTCACTGCACAAATGCATTTAAACTAAGACTGACCTTCATGATGAGTCTGAAAGGCTCAAAAACATACTACTACAACAAGTATCAGATTTATATTTTATGACTTTTTCTACTTTCATGAGAGCTGATAAACAAAATTTCAACTTGAAAAAATAATGCTACTTTGATTTTGTTTGGACTGTAAATTATAAGAAAATGCAATTTTCAGATTGTATAAATGAGTCTGCCCATCTATTTGGATTTGTTTTATTGTATGTTTTTGCATTAAAGAAACAACTTTTCTACTCTGGATAACAGTTTTCTGAAAATTGCATATGTGTGAGGTGAGTGACTTGACCCCCCTCTCAGATTACCTTCATGCATGCACCAAACTCACCATGCAACATTATTTCACACTCACATTTAGGATTTAAATGAGTAACAGTGAATTATTATATTGGTAAGGGTGTTGCATGTTTCTGCAGCCTTCATGCATGCATTTTCTGACATACACTGTAAAAAAGCTGTAAATAAAATGACAATTATATAAGAAAATACTATTTCAGTCTAGAACAAGAGTGAGCTGTCTTAAGTGAGTGAATATATATTCATATTCACTGCAATGCAATAAAACTAATATTGAATATTGTAAATGGAATGAAAATATAATGATAAAAACTGTTTGAAGTGACCAAAACAGACGTTTTAACATATAAAGTCACTTCTGTAGCATTAGAAATATAAAGCAATAAATATAGGCTATAAGCCATATTCACTGCACAAATGCATTTAAACTAAGACTGACCTTCATGATGAGTCTGAAAGGCTCAAAAACATACTACTACAACAAGTATCAGATTTATATTTTATGACTTTTTCTACTTTCATGAGAGCTGATAAACAAAATTTCAACTTGAAAAAATAATGCTACTTTGATTTTGTTTGGACTGTAAATTATAAGAAAATGCAATTTTCAGATTGTATAAATGAGTCTGCCCATCTATTTGGATTTGTTTTATTGTATGTTTTTGCATTAAAGAAACAACTTTTCTACTCTGGATAACAGTTTTCTGAAAATTGCATGTTCAGTTTAGGGTAAAAACTAACATGCGGTTTCTGTCAGTTTCTACATTGTAAAAGCTCAGTTGC